CCACTTCAGCGGCTTTGCTGGATTATTTCTCTACATTCTGGTCTTCATCATCTCACTTCCAGGCAGAAAACTTTCCACACCCCCCACCGCTGATGCCCAGGGAACTGAGCTGGGTTCTCTTCCCCTAGTGTTCCAGCCCAGGCCCCGCTTGATCCTACGTGCCCACTCCCTGCTGTGTGTTGACTGATACCCTCCCTGTCTGGGATCCGCCGTTCCTGTGCCCATCTCCATGCCTGACCTTGGCACTGTCAGACATGTCACAAGGGCCCCTCGGCACTGCCCACAACTCGGTGAGTTCCCAAGGCACCAACGGGCTCACTTGGCCGCTGACCAGGTGAACCTGCAATTTAAGAATATAGCAGAGAAATAGATACAGAGAGGAAGAACAGAAAGGAAAGGGTGTGTGGGCGTGGTTGGGCGCACCAAGAATATCCTGCTGCATTGTTTCTTCTGCTTTTGTCCAGCCTCCCTCCTCCTGTTGAGTCATGTGCGCTGCTGGCTGCTGCATCCTCTCACTCTTTTCCCAGCCTTCCGCAGGCTAGTAGAGGACCACCAAATGCATTTCAGGCCTGCACCGCAGATCAGCAGTCTTCATGGCCACCCCCTTCACCCAGCACTGCAGGGTCCGCTCGAAGGCTTCAGCTGTCTGCCCTGATCTTCTTCCAGCCCTTCTCGCAGCCTCTCTGGTTGCTCCCATAACGCCTGGAGCAGTCACTTCTTGGAATGCCTTTCTTTTCTCCAAACACTTGTCTACCGAGCTCAGCTTTGGACATCACCTCTCTGGTCATATTCAGCCCCACATGCTTCACACAGCCTTTATCCCAATTGGCTGAAGTGAAATTAGGACTTTGTTCTCATCTCGCTCTCTCTTTTTTTTTTTTTGAGACAGAGTTTCGCTCTGTTGCCCGAGGCTAGAGGTAACGACATTATCACAGGCTCACTGCAACCACCAAACTCCTGGCTCAAGCAATCCTCTTGGCTCAGCCTCCCAGTAGCTGGGATTACAGTATTGCCACCATGCCCAGCTAAGTTTTCTATTTTTGTAGAGACAGGGTCTCACTTTGCTCAGAACTGGTCCTGGGGCCGGCGAGGGCTCACGCCTGCCTGGTAATCCTGCACTCTGGGGAGGCCGATGCGGGGGATTTGCTTGATGTCAAGAGTTCAAAACCAGCCTGAGCAAGAGCGAATGACCCCATTCTTCTACTATATAATACCAATAAATTAATTAGCCAAAACTATTATATACCATGAAAGAATTAGCTAGCATGTGGCTCATGCCTGTATCCAGCTACTCGGGAGGCTGAGGCAGCAGGATTGCTTGAGCCAGGTAGTTTGAGGTTGCTGTGAGTAGGCTGCGCACGGCACTCACTCTAGCCTGGCAACATCAAGCGAGACTTCTGTCTCAAAAAAAAATAAAAGAGAACTGGTCTGGACTCTGACTCAAGAATCCTCCTGCTCTGCCTCCCAGAGTGGCTAGCATTCAGATGTGAGCCACACACCCGGCCTTCTCATCTCTTTATTCTACGAAACCCATCTCCAAAACTTGGCACCGGTAGGCCACCACCTATGTGTACAGAATGAACAACTGAGTAATGTACTTGATGCTACAAATTTGGAGCAAGTCAGCCAAATGTAGTAATTAACCTTTGCCCATCTATGGCCATCTGTCTTGGGGCTTCGTTGGAAATGGCTCCAAGGAACTGACAAATTAGGAAATGAGAATTATGTGAGCCCCAATCAGATCACCATCATTAAATGTCTCATTCTGAAAGTTTATGGTAAAGCTTTTAGCCTTTCGCGGATAGGAATGAAGCTGTCCTGTATCGTAAGAGAACAAGGACAGTTTCTGTGAAAGAAGAAAGACTGAAGTGGAGAAAGATCAAAATTGAACGAAACGCTGAAATCTTAAGCTGGAGAAAGGACAGGGATGTGTCCACCCTCCTTGCTCCTCCCTGCAATCTCTCGAGGATCTTTTTTGCAACTTCAGAGAGTGGGCAAAAAGCTAGGGGTGGGTGCAAGCGCTCTGCCCACCACTGCTGCTCCCTTTTGTCTTGGCCAACACAGGGGCAGAGGCCTTTGAGACCCACCCAAACACAACCTCTTGTTCAGCCGCGAAGAACAGGCCAGCTGGTCTAACAGGTGCCAGGGGGTGGGGCACTGTTTATCCTCAGATACCGCACCCCCCAGGTTGGGTGGAAACTGAAACCGGAGGAGAAATGAGCAGGCGTGATGTGTCTGGCTGCCTAGGAGCTAATAGTTCTTTTCTGTCTGCACTTAGCTGGGGTTCACCTGGCTGTCAAGAATCTGCCTAGGGGGCTAATTGACCAGGTTGTGGGCACCTTGATCTGGCCACCCTGTCATTAATGGAGTTGTCATTTTTTGTGCGACTTCCTTATAGATTCTTGGGCTGGGCTGCGAGGCCCTTCATAACCTGGTTCTACCAGCTTCTGCCCTCATTTCCAAACCTGCATCCTTCCACCCCACACCTCTGCACCCATCCTATTCCTCCTGCCTAGAAAAGGCCCTCCTTCAGATGCCTTCCCTCCCTGCCACCTCCAGTGAGAAGGTATGCTTTTGTCTTGGTTCCTCCTCTACTGACTTTGAGCAAAGCTGCTTCTCTTTAAGCTTCAGCTTCCTCATCTGTAAAATGGGGTATGTGACAGGACAGCTGGACCAAGTTCATCTGTCTTAGTGTAGTTCTAAATTCTTGCACTTGAGCTGGGCACAGTGGTTGATGCCTACGGTCCCAGTTCTTGGTAAGCTGAGGTGGGAGGATCGCTTGAGGCCACAAGTTGTTACCAGCCTGGACAACGTAGGGAGACATTCTAAAAAATAAAAAAAATAATTAATTAAAACATTCATTTACTTGAGGACAGCTCAACTAGGGTAGATGTACATTACTAGTAGAATGAGCAAGAATGAGTTCAGAACTTCACACATTCAAACACCCTGTCCGTCTCTGAAGTTAAGCAGACAAGCTTATGTAAATGTTTTAACTGATGTGTCCAATTAAAATGTTGTGGTAGCGGGTGCCATGGCTCACGCCTGTAATCCTAGCACTCTGGGAGGGCCGAGGCAGGCGGATTGCTCAAGGTCAGGAGTTCGAAACAGCCTGAGTAAGAGCAAGACCCTGTCTTTACTAAAAAATAGAAAGAAGTTAATTGGACAACTAATATACATAGAAAAAATTAGCCAGGCATGGTGGCGCATGCCTGTAGTCCCAGCTACGTGGGAGGCTAAGGCAGTAGGATCACTTGAGCCCAGGAGTTTGAGGTTGATGTGAGCTAGGCTGACGCCATGGCACTCTAGCTGGGGCAACAGAGCAAGACTCTGTCTCAAAAAAAGAAAAAGTGCTCAGTTGATAGTTCAAGTGGCTAATGGATATATAATAAGAACCAATGTTTAAAATTTCTAAGCTACTTCACAATGTAGTTTTTGTTTGTTTTTTTTGTTTGCTTTTTGAGACAGTCTCACTCAGTACATTATTGTAGCTCACTGCAACCTCAAACTCCTGGGCTCAGGCAATCCTCTTGCCTCGGTCTCCCACAGAGTAGCTGGGACTACAGGTGTGTACCACCACACCCAGCTCATTTTTTCTATATTTAGTGTAGATGGGGTCTTGCTCTTGCTCAGGGTGGTCTCAAACTCCTGATCTCAAGTGATCCTGTTGCCCAGAGTACTAGTATTACAGGTGTGAGCCAATGAGCCCAGCCCACAATGCAGTATTCTGAGCAGCACTCCATAACAGACAGCATGCTGCCTGTACATTCAAAACCCTTTCAACAACTTTGTATTTCATTTAAAAATGCAGGATAGGTAAATCTACCCAACACTACATTTCAGTCAACATTCAATCTTTTTTTTTTTTTTTTTTTTGAGACAGAATCTCACTCTATTGCCTGGGCTAGCTTGCAGCAACCTCAAACTCCTGGGTTTAAGCAATCCTCCTGCCTCAGCCTCCGGAATAGCGGGACTACAGACACGCCCCACCATGGCCAGCTAATTTTTTCTATATATTTTTAGTTGGCTAATTAATATCTTTCTATTTTTAGTAGAGACAGGGTCTTGCTCTTGCTCAGGCTGGTTTTGAACTCCTGACCTTGAGCAATCCACCTGCCTCGGCCTCCCAGAGTGCTAGGATTAAACATTCAATCTTATTAACCAAATTAATACAACCAGCTGGTTAAACATGACAAGTGTGTGGAGGGGCTGGTGACGAATATGCTCTACAAAGCCCAGTGGTTCCTGTCTTACTGGGTGAGGTGGGTACTTTGTGCTTCCCAAGTGTCTGCCTCATCATGCCCACCACCCAGCGTCGATTCCCTGCAGCCCCTCAACTCTCACGGGCACTCTGGGCTTCCTGTCATTAATGGTATCTCTTCTAATTTCTTTTCTTTTCTTTTTTTTTTTGAGACAGAGTCTCACTTTGTTGCCCAGGCTGGAGTGAGTGCTGTGGCGTCAGCCTCGCTCACAGCAACCTCAAACTCCTGGGCTCAAGCGATTCTGCTGCCTCAGCCTCCCGAGTAGCTGGGATACAGGCATGCGCCACCATGCCTGGCTAATTTTTTCTATACATATTAGTTGGCCAATTAATTTCTTTCTATTTATAGTAGAGACAGGGTCTCGCTCTTGCTCAGGCTGGTTTCGAACTCCTGACCTTGAGCCACCTGCCCGCCTCGGCCTCCCAGAGTGCTAGGATTACAGGCGTGAGCCACCGCGCCCGGCCCTGGCCATAGGTTTGAATCTTTGCTCCATCACCAGTCTGTGTGACCTTGGGGAGACTATTTAAGATCTGTGTGCCTCGGTTTCCCCATCAGCAAGGTTCTTCTCTAGAGAAACTGACCAGCTTCTAAGACCTACAAACTCTGACACTGCGTGTGTGTGTGTGTGTGTGTGTGTGTGTGTGTGTCCCCTCCAATGAAATTGCTGGGTCCTTACCCACAAATCACAAAACTTCTAGTCAGTATTTTAATATCTCTCTTTCTCATTCAACTAATTACCACATGCTAGACACTGCACTGCCCCGGGGCTGTGGAAACAGAGATGCTTGAGGAAAGGTCAGTCACTGCCTGTTCATCTGTTCCTGGCAGTCAAAAGTTGGTTCACGTCTCTCTCCTGCTGCTTTCGCTCTTTTGTTCTGTGGCTGCATGAGACACACACATAGAATCATTACTGCCGTATTAGTGGGGCTCCAGAAAGAGCGGAGATGAATACAATTGCTCCACCCACTGTGTCTAGCCAGAGGCCACAGAGACATTCTAAGGCACCCAGTGCGACTCTGTCCTGCCACTGCTTAACCCCTTCCATGGTTCTTTTTCTTTTTTTTTCTTACACGTGCAGCAGGAGCAAGGTTCATTTTGACTTTAGGGTCAAGTTCAAACTCTTCAGCACAGCCTGCCCTAGTCCTTCTACATCTCCCCACTCATCTCTTGCCACCATCACCCCACTAATATCCAGTCACTCCAAACCCCATTGCCCCCTTCTGCACATTCCATCCACATTCTTTCATGCAAGGTGTGGCTTGTAAGCCATCTCTTCTGGGAGCCCAGGGAATTGTCTGTCTTTCTCCTTTCTCCCATGGTGCTTTTTTTTTTTTTGAGACAGAGTCTCACTCTGTTGCCCAGGCTAGAGTGCCATGGTATCAGCCTAGCTCACAGCAACCTCAAACTCCCGGGCTCAAGCGGTCCTCTTGCCTCAGCCTCCCGAGTAGCTGGGACTACAGGCATGCACCACCATGCCCGGCTAATTTTTTCTATATAGATTTTTAGTTGTCTGGCTAAGTTCTTTCTATTTCTAATAGAGATGGGGTCTCGCTCTTGCTCAGGATGGTCTCAAATTCCTGACCTCGAGTGATCTTCCCGCCTTGGCCTCACAGAGTGCTAGGATTACAGGCGTGAGCCAGGGCACCTGGCAGCATGGTACTTTTTTTTTTTTTTTGAGACACAGTCTCACTTTTTTGCCCAGGCTAGAGTGAGTGCCGTGGCGTCAGCCTAGCTCACAGCAACCTCAAACTCCTGGGCTCAAGCAATCCTGCTGCCTCAGCCTCCCGAGTAGCTGGGACTACAGGTATGTGCCACCATGCCCGGCTAATTTTTTCTATATATATTAGTTGGCCAATTAATTTCTTTCTATTTATAGTAGAGATGGGGTCTCATTCTTGCTCAGGCTGGTTTTGAACTCCTGACCTCGAGCAATCCACCTGTCTCGGCCTCCCAGAATGCTAGGATTACAGGCGTGAGCCACCGCGCCCGGCCCGCATGGTACTTTTGATATATGTGTGATGGCGCTGTATTGTGATGATTTGTCATATGCACTCCAGGCAGGGACCTGGGACCCTCTGGGTATTGCCTGGGCCTATAGTGGGCCCTCAGGGGGTGTCAGTGCAATGCATGGGTGGACAGGGAATAAGCAATAAAGATAATGACATTGTTTTTACCATTCCATGGCCCTCATTATGGGTGGGTTGGATGTCTGGTTAATATTAGCTAGAAGTCCTAGCACTCTGGGAGGCTGAGGTGGATCACTGGAGGTCAGGAGTTCAAGACCAGCCTGAGCCCTGAATGAGAGCAAGACCCCCTCGGGGCAGATGGGAGGCGGGGAGGGGGGATGGGAACATTCACACCTAATTAATGGATGCTGCTTGCACTGTCTGGGGGATGGACACGCTTGAAGCTCTGACTCAGGTGGGGCAAAGCAATATAAATAACCTAAACGTTTGTACCCCCGTAATATGCTGAAATAAAAATAAAATGAAAAAAAAAAAAGAGCAAGACCCTGTCTCTAATAAAAGTAGAAAAAATTAGCCGGGCGTGGTTATAGCTACTTGGGAGGCTGAGGCAGGAGGATCACTTGAGCCCAGGAGTTTGAGGTTGCTGTGAGCTAGGCTGACACCACAGCACTCTAGCCCAGATGACAGAGTGAGACTCTGTCTCAAAAAAAAATTAGCTAGAAGTGTGTAGGATAGTCATTTTAAACCTTATTCCACTTACCATTCACCTAAACAATATAAATGGTACGTGTCCTCATAGAACTCTTAGCTTGTGCCTTGGCTCCATCTGAAGTCCAGTGAGGTTGGAACATGGAACGCAGAACTTGGAAGGGCTGTTTCCAGAGTGTGTCAGTCCGTTTTCCACTGCTATAAAGGAATACCTGGGGCTGGATAATTTATTAATATAAAGAAAAGAGGTAAGAGGTTTATTTGGCTCACGGTTCTGCAGGCTATACAAGAAGCATGCTGCCAGCACCTGCTTCTGGTGAGGGGTTCGGGGAGCTTCCAATCAAGGTGGAAGGCAAGGGGGACCAGGCATGTCACATGGCGAGAGAGAGAGGAAGAGAGGGAGGAGGTGGTGCCAGGCTCTTTTAAACAACCAGGTCTCCCATGAACTAATAGAACTTGGCTGGGCGCGGTAGCTCATGCCTGTAATCCTAGCACTCTGGGAGGCCGAGGCGAGCGGATCATTTGAGCTAAGGAGTTTGAGACCTGCCTTAGCAAGAGAGAGACCCTGTCTCTACTAAAAAATAGAAAGAAATTAGCTGGATAACTAAAAGTATATATATAAAATATTAGCCAGGCATGGTGACACATGCCTGTAGTCCCAGCTACTTGGGAGGCTGAGGAAGAAGTATATCTTGAGCCCAGGAGTTGGAGGTTGCTGTGACCTAGGGTGATACCATGACACTCTGGCCGAGGCAACAGAGTGGGACTCTATCTCAAAAAAAAAAAAAAAAAGAAAAGAAAAAAAAAGAAAATAGAACTCACTCATTTCCTGGGGAAGGCAGCAAGCCATTCATGAGGGCTCTGCTCCTATGACCCAAACACCTCCCACTTCCAACATTGAGGATCAAATTTCGGCATGAGATTTGGAAGGGCCAAACATCCAAACCATTTCACAGACATGAAACTGTAGTGGTGGATCCATATACACACAACTGACAGCAGAACACTTGGCCTTTTTTTGGTACCAGTCAACAAGTATCCTGCTGGAAGGCAAACACAATCTTCCGGACTCCCAAATCAAACACAACAGAGACTAGAAGTAACCTGCTGGTGAAAGGCAAGGCAGATCCCCGTAGGAGATGCAGGATGAGCATGGACCTGCCCAAAGCAGGCATGCCTTGGCTTCCTTAGGCTTTCCCTATAACTGTCAAATGGATTAAAATATGTGGTATGTCCTCTCCCTGCTTGGAAGTCAACGTGGGAAACTGAAAGAGGATCTGAAAGGTAGACAGGCTCAGAGTATAGGATCTGGATGTTTCTGAGGATGTTCTATGGCCTATGGTTCTATGGGCGGGCGCTCTTGGACTGGGCTAGAGGGCCTACAACAAAAACTGGAACTTAGGCCGGGCGCTGTGGCTCATGCCTGTAATCCTAGCTCTTGGGAGGCCGAGGCGGGCGGATTGCTCAAGGTCAGGAGTTCAAAACCAGCCTGAGCAAGAGCGAGACCCCGTCTCTACTATAAATAGAAAGAAATTAATTGGCCAACTGATATATATAGAAAAAATTAGCCGGGCATGGTGGCGCATGCCTGTAGTCCCAGCTACTTGGGAGGCTGAGGCAGTAGGATTGCTTGAGCCCAGGAGTTTGAGGTTGCTGTGAGCTGGGCTGACGCCACGGCACTCACTCTAGCCTGGACAACAAAGCGAGACTCTGTCTCAAAAAAAAAAAAAAAAAAAGAAACTGGAACTTAGTTCTTATTTTTCCAGGCTCCATGCAGACCTCTTTTAATGATGTAACCAGCTGCAGGAGAGCTGCACTGACGGGTGTAAAGTTCTGGTTGGATTCCAAAGTTAGCAGCTCAGGGGAAAGTTGAGTCAAGGGGAAAACCCCCCTTGAAAGCTCCTTAGGAAGGTATCTTACTGGGGCCTGAGAGGTGGCCTCCTTTTAGGTGTATGGACTAGATTTTCCTCCAGGCTGGAAACTGTGGCTTTTCTCTGAGCATCAGGTTGGGGGTGGTTAACTTAATTTTGGGGGACAAATTGTAAGAAAAATGAGGCTCTTCACACATTGGAACCATATGATGGCATGGCCAATAATGACCTCCCCTCTTGCCAGCCCACCAGGGCACACGGGCACAGTGGTGGGCACCATTCCTGCACTAGTTAAACGGCTGTGTGTGCATGTGTAGACATCAATAAGTAAAATTCTGTTACCCAGGCTAGAGTGAATGCCGTGGTGTCAGCCTAGCTCACAGCAACCTCAAACTCCTGGACTCAAGCGATCCTCCTGCCTCAGCCTCCCAAGTAGCTGGGACTATAGGCGTGCGCCACCATGCCCGGCTGATTTTATATATATATATGTATATATATATATATACAT